CTACTGTTTAGATCTGTTTATTCGTGTTGTAATAATGGATTGCGTTTATTACTCTATAATATAAGAGGTTTATTTGTGGGGAAAAAATTATTTCACGTTAATGATTGAATCTATATTGTTTTGAATGACTGATGTTTACTTGAATTATATTCTTTTAAAATCCTCATATATTCTGTTTTAAGAGCATGTTTGGTATAACTTGTGAAAGCTTTTACTTTTTTAGTACTGTTATGAGTGATAAATTTAAATTTTTATTGGAGAAAAAACAGAGCTTTTGTTTTAGAGATATGAAAAAATGAGTAAAAATGGAGTTTATGAAATGTTTGGATTTAAAACTTTTGAACTTTTATTATTTTAGAGTTTTTTAAGGTTAAAAAAATATTTAAAAATGTAAATATTTTAAAAAAAAATTTTAATTCATGAAATATCAATAGTACCAAAAAATTGAAACTCTTAGGAGTAATCCAAACAGACCTTAATAGGAAATGCAGTTTCAACTCTAAGAATACAAGGCCTTTTGTGAGGAGCCTGGAATCACTGACATGTTCAAGGCCTTTAGGGAAAGAAAGAACGAGAGTCCAAGCAAGAGTTAAAGAAGCTCGATGAAGTTTTTGGGGTGCGCGATTATCTGGGCCTTCCTTTCAAGATAGAGCCGTGCACCTTTTCCATTTTGGATTGTAATATAATATACTGTAACTATTTCATCACAGCCCTACGTATCCACAAATGGGCCTGGATTCCACCCCTATGTCCACCCCTAGGTCACGCATAATGTGCATGTTTTCAAAAGTCCACGAGGATGGAACATGCGAATTATTGAACATGGATACTTAACTTTGTGGGATCTTGAAATATCGACAGGAAATTTAGCAGGTATGGATATATTTTGCTACATTATTATACTATTTTTGACATTCTTCTAATTATGGAATGTTATTGTTTTAACTTTTTCTTTAATCTGCAGGATCCTCAAATGTTTCCACCAATTGTTAACTAGAATTGCAGTCCAACACTACATGTGCTATGTTATTAACTGCGGGTGTCATAAATTTTACTGCAATTAGTGAAGGTAGTGAGTTATTTCAATACTGAGTTTGTTGTGTATTATTATTATTATTATTATTATTATTATTATTATTTGTTATAACTGTTAGTTGATATTATATGATTCTATTGTCTCTCCTCCAAAGCCTTATCATGACCGTCTTGCCGTGCAAGGAGAAACTACTACGGTTGTTGGATCCTCTGGTGGTCCCACCACCCAGTCCTCACCACACAATGAAAAATTTTAATTTTACCTCGATCCCTCTTTTATGTCATTTCTTACGGGACATGTCACATGGGTGATGCAGGTTTTTATGTTTATGTTGGATTATGGTAGCTATGGATTATGTTGGTGTAGCTATTATTTGGAATGATTTGAACTTAATTACATGAACACTAATTTTGTGCTTGTGTTGAATGGGATGTTTGAACTTGATATTAGTAATCATAAAAATTACAAGGTAGCACACAACGCGAGGCACAAGTAGTAATTTTTTTTTTTAATCAAACAACAAAGCAATTTTTATTAAAAATAGTACAAAAGGTATTTAATCATTATTAGAGAGAAAACTTTGTAACTAGATCTATGTTAAATACAAAATTTTTCTATTAAACAAAGTTAAATGTTTTTCTAGGTGAAAATTTAATAAAAACAACATAGTTTTAAATGGTATGAAGAAAAAAAATATTGTTTTGGATGATTTTACTCTTAATTTTTTTAGAGATGCAGTACTTTACCCTTTATTATTTATTTGGCTTAACATCACTACAAATCCCACAACCATGTAAAAAGGAGTCATTGACATCCTTCCACTTTAAAGTCAAGGGAATATTATAAATTGTTTTAAAGTAGAAGGATGACAATGACTCCTTTTACAAAGTTAGAAAAATTTTAGTGACATTAAAACTTATTTTTAAAATATATTTGTTTTTTAATAATATTTTATTAAAACGATATAATTTCAAAATATTTTTCATCTTAATATGTTTTATTTCAAAATATTTATTCACAACCAAAAATAGTTAAATTTCAAACTAATAAATCAATCTAAAAAAAATAAAATCGATCTAAATATATTTATTTAGATCGATACTGCTCTAGATACTTAATTCAAGAAAACTCAGGTTGAATAATTTAAATTTCAGACCAAATATTGATATCAGCTGTCACAAAGGGCTGATTTTCAAGTTTGAGCGTTTATAAGCCACCATTTTCAGTTGAGGGGGTTGATTTGCTACCAATTCAAGAGTATGGGAACTGATTTGCTACTAATTCAAGAGTATAGGAGCTAAAAAATAAAAATCGATCTAAATATAATTATTCAGATCGATACTGCTCTAGAAACTTAATTCAAGAAAACTTAGGCTGAATAATTTAAATTTCAGACCAAATATTGATATCAGCAGTCACAAAAGGGCTGATTTTCAAGTTTGAGCGTTTATAAGCCACCATTTTTAGTTGAGGGGGTTGATTTGCTACCAATTCAAGAGTATGGGAACTGATTTGCTACTAATTCAAGAGTAGAGGAGCTAATTTACCCTTTTTGCCTTTATCAAGGACGAGCCAATGAAGGACAAGGGGGCAGCCTCCCCCCTAAACTTTTGAAAAACATTTAATATGGTACTGTAATTTTTATTTGTTAAAAATTTTGTTTTTATATGTTAAAAATTTTGTTTTTATAGAATGAATTTCAAGAACTATTTCAAATGTAAAGAAAATATTTAAGATCTAAATAAAGAATTTTAAAAAAACAAGGATATGATTTAAATCAAATGAACTTATGTCAAGTTAATTAATTAAGAATTGAGATTCTTAAATATTTTTTCATTTATCAAATAAAAAAACTTTAATTTTCTATTTAAACAACTTTAAATTTATAATTTTATTTAATATTCTTTTATTTTATTTCTTAATATTCTATATAATAATTTAAAGTTTTTTAATAATATCAAGGTATCGTTTTACTTTTCATGATTGAATTTATAATAATTTTTTATGTTAAAACAACTAAAATTAAACTTCACTTTCTAAATGAAATATTATAATATTTTTTATAATATTATTATTTATCAATATAACCTTTAAAAAATTAAGAGAAAAACACCCACAACTATATTATTTTAATAAATGAAAAACATTCTCATTCCTATTTTAAAAATTATTATCTTTTTAAATGCAAGTTTATTGAAATAATATAATTTTGTTGTGTTTTTCTTTCTAATTTTTAGAGATT